AGGTATGTTTGCATGTGGTATATATATGTATGTGGTATATATGTGAATATTCATGTGGTATGTGTATGGTGAATTTGTGAGTGGTATAGGTATGCCTATAGTGTGTGGTGTGGGTGTGGAGTATGTATTTGTAAGTGGTGTGGGGGTATGTTTATATGTGTTTTGGGTATGCATATACATGTTTTGTGTGAATATTTGTAATGTATGTATATTTTCATTTGAAGTGGTGTGTATATGTGTGGGTGAATTTATATGTAGTATGTATGCATGTGTGGAATGTGCTTGCAAGTATTGTATGTTCATGTGCACTGTGTGTACACAGGTGTGTGAAATGTATGGTGTGTGTGTATAATGTGTATGTGTATGCATTTGTATATGGTATGTGTGTGTAGTGTGCAGGTACGTGGTGTGTGTGTAGGTGTGTGGGTATGTGTGTATTTGTGTGGTATGTATGTGGGGGTGTTTACATGCTTTATTTGTGCATAGTGTCTCTTGGTGTGTGTGTGATATGTTTGTGTGTGTTATGTATATGTGTATGTATAATGTATGTGCATATGTGTGGTGGCATGAACACCTTGTAGCTGTACATGTGTATGTGTGTATATGTGAGAGAGGGGTGTATGTGGCATAGCTATGGGTGCCATTTATCCTTTATAGGCCCAGATTCGATGGGAAGGCTGCTCAGAACCTCCTTTTTCTTGGTTTTCCAAAATCATGGCAGTTTGTGGACAGGAACGCCTAGCCAGTTTGTTCCAATGGGCCTTCTTGGCCCCCTGGTCCTCTGGGGAGCTGCCTTATGTTGCCAGGGAGTTGGGGAGAGGGAGGGCACTGTAGAAGTGTTAAAAAAACTTCAAAGAGTTATTCATTGATTTGTATGTTTCACTGCAAGTGAGAAATTAGTAAACTTGCATTGGCAATAGCCCTTCTTCCAAGTGGACTAGTAACTTCAGGTTGATTTTATTTGGCTCAAATTGTGTCTTCAAAGTTAGATAGGGTCTTATTTCTCAGTATGAAAATAAACTTGCCCATCCACAAACAGCATGACAAAACGGTCCCATGGTCATCTTTGAATCTTCCTCCTCCTAATTTCTAAAATAAAAATCATATCTTCTGGCAGTTGAAAACTCTACTTTCAAGTTTTTAATACCAATTTTTTATTAGACTTCTGAAAAATAAGCCTGTCACAGACCTGAGGCACAGACACAGAATGTGAATACAAACACCACTGGCTAAGCACTTGTGTCATTTGTCCCTACATGCACCCTATTCAAAGAGCTGATCTAAAATGCAATTTTGAAACCAAAACAACAAACCTTTTCTCAGAATCCTCTGACAGAAAAGCTGAGGTAGTGCCAGTAAGAAGTTCACCAAATTCTAATTACTCCCTTGAGAGCCAATCATTAGCAGAAAACCTGCATAATGTTCTGTCTCCTGCACAATGTAGACACTGACATATTTCTCATTTTGTTGTTTCCTGCCATTTGGAGATGTTGCTATTTGTCACACACTAAACAGAGGAGAGGACAGCAAAGTGCATTTCAGTTCCTTGGGCAATTTTTATAAATAACCAATAGATGTGGCTGTTTTGAAAGGCTTTCTTCTGTTTCAGCTGCCTGACATTCTTATGGCTTAGGGCAGTATTAGCAGTGGTTGTTCAAAGGGGCATCAGGGCCATGCTGGGTATTTGGGAGCTGAATGGTCAAGGCTTGACCTCTACCCCCTCAAATCCCTGTTATCTTAAGCAGAGCAGCTTCACTTAAAATATATGTTGTTTATACTAAGGATTTATATAACATTTAATTCAAGAAATAAGGAGTAGATAAACCAATTGTACTATAACCTTAACAGGTGTGAGTAAGGAATGATGCAACTTAGGGGTTGTTTCATACAGAAGAATGGCAGGTCGCCAGCTCCCAAAATATTCTTAACAGCCACTAAGCTACCCTGATCCAGCATCAACAGCCACTGAGCTGTAGGAAAACATCTATTCAAAATCTGTTTACTGCCTCAGGTCTTCCCTATCAGAAACATGATTAACTGCCTGGAAGGAAAGATATGCAAGAGGTAAACAATGAGAGGTCTTATAAGCCAAGTTAAAAGCATGGCTTTCTAGTCATTACTAACATCTAATATGTTATACATATAACTCATTTGTTTACTATCTCCTCCGTTCTAGCACATAAACTCCCTGAGGTCAATGGCTTTTGTCTTCAGTAACTAGAACAATGCCAGACATATAATAGGCATTCAAATATTTGTTGAATAAATTGAATGAATGAGTAAATTAAATACTTGAATGAATTTACTTTATTTCAAATGACTTTATTTCAAATGATTTTATTTCAAAGCCACAAAGTTGCCTAGATGGGGCTTCAGCAGGTTTGAGTTTTAGAGAAATCCCTGTGGATGTTGAGTGGAAAATTAACTGCAGAGTGGCAAGACTTTCCATTTGTAATTAAAAAACAGTATCTCTGTGACGGATGATGAAGGTAAGTAGGAGTGCCAACAGAGCACTAGTGAAATAAAGTCATTTATTTATTCATTCAAGTATTTAATTTACTTATTCATTCAATTTATTCAACAAATATTTGAATGCCTATTATATGTCTGGCATTGTTCTAGTTACTGAAGGCAAAAGCCATTGACCTCAGGGAGTTTATGTGCTAGAACAGAGGAGATAGTAAACAAATAAGTTATATGTATAACATGTTAGATGTTAGTAATGACTAGAAAGAAAAATAAAGGAGAGATAGGGCATGCAAAGAGTAGCAGGGGAAGCTGGAAATTATTTTTTTTTAAGTAAGAAGGCTGCTAAAGGCCTAAGGAGATGAAATTTCAGCAAAGACCCAACAGAGG